GGTGCAGTGGCAGTGACGGAACCGCCACCAGATGCATCGTGAGCAGCGGAGTTTCTCGCTTCCTATCCTACGCCTTCGCATGCGGAAGGTGGTGGGGGGGTTTATTTTTATTTTTGTGCAGCGGGCGGAGAGATCCCCCGCTTTTCCCAGCTGGAAACTTGTGAGGTTTTCACGGCAAATCCACTCCCTGCTGTCAGCAGTCGTCGTTGCTCCCTGTTCCCATCTGGCCGTCGGTGCCAGGTACGGCCGTCACTTGCGAGGCATCGCTCCGTTTGAGCGATGCGCCTGCTCCCATCACTGCCCTTTGCACTGCCCAGCCGGACTCAGTCCTGTCCTTTTTTCCTGAAAGACCATGAAGGATCTGGTTTGGGTTTTTTATTTTTTTGCTTGCCTCCCCCTCTTGGCAAATTAAAATGCGCCTTGTACTGCCTCTGGATTCAGCGGTGTGCTGAATCGCTAACAATTTGTGCAGCTTTTAAGGTGTGGGTCTTCGTATTGAAATGCTACCTCCGAGAAAGCAGCCCCGCTTGTGTGTGCGAGCAAGCCTGGCATCGCTAGGTACGCTGTACTTATTCCTGTTCAGCACTTCTTGCATGACAAACGCCCCTTCCCGGGCTGCAAAACAGATGATCTCATGTTCTGCTTGAGCTGGAGCTGAGAAGCTTGGAGGGATGCGAGCGGTGCTGAAGTTCTGCTGAAGTACGGGGTCAGCAGGCGCTGATCTGCTTTTTTCCCCCCAGCCCGTAGGTGGGAATTAGCCAGCTGTTTTCCACCGAATCTCGCTCAAGAGCAAATCCTGGGCACTCTGTACGGAGAGCTCGCTCAGAAGGAAATCCTGGGCACCGGGAGCCTTTTGTATGGTGCCACAAGACCTGCAAAAATCTTTGGTGATCTGTTATGTAATGGAGTTTGCAGAAAATAAGATATTTAGGCAGCTTCTGCATGTGGAGATATTTATATAAATCTAAATATCTTAATGTATTGTGACTAAGCATCTGTTCAAAATTGCTTTTTAACGAAATCATCCAGAAAGCAGGAACGGGTACATACTGAGAGAGATCTTACTGAATATGTATTTTACAGCTTGGTTCTGCCTTCTTTAAGCAGATTTTGTATGCAATAAAACTCTTCCCTCTTCTCTTCCCCTCCTTCAAGACCCAGTTCAGAACCTGGCCCAGCCAGAGAGAAATAAGAACGAATGAGCTATTTTCAGAGAGAGGAGGAGAACTGGACCTATTAAGCCACTAAGTGCTGTTGCATGGCGGTGGGTGAGAAGCTGGGAGTTATTGGAATGAAAAAACCAACTGCCCAACCACCAGCAGCTTGCTCACCTACATACCTTCTCAAGCGCCTGCGCCGTTGCAGCCAGCGTGCTTCTCGGGGGGGTTACTGACCGTGGCGGTGGGGAAGGGTGGGTGAATGGCTCCTGACCACTTGCTGTCGTGCCCAAAGTGGCTTTTCCCTAGCGTCTCATAGATGAAAACTCTTCCTTTACATCTGTGGAGGCCTGTGCAAAGCAATCTTACTCAACAGTGTTTACAGTTCTCTGGCAGTATCTTGGAAGAGAAATATTTGTACTCTACCTTAACGTAGGGAGAAAAAATTATATGTATATAACCCATACAGAGCACAGTGGGGTTTCCTCAGCCAGCAACTGAGGCTTCTGGGGCGTTCTCTCCAGGAGGGGTAAGGCTGAGGCGATTCATCTTCCCTTCTGCATGTGAAGTTAGGGTATCTCTCCATGCTGTCTGTTCCCAATCCAGCACAGAGGTTTGGGACCACCTCCAGCTAAGGCCACGGGGGGATCAGCAGGGGAGACCAGTACTGAGAGCCTCTGGTTTGAATTCAGCCGTGTAATGACTGTTGGAAGCTTTGTAGGAGCTTTCCTCTTGTAAAAAATGGTGTGAAGGATCAATGTTAGACTTGGGCTTTTTCCTGCGTGATGAAAGCAAAAGACCCTCCCATGCCTCTGTATCTCTCTCCCTGCTTATCCCCGAATTGCACCTTCGATAACAGATTATGGGAGTGGGCGGGGTAGGGAGGGGGGATTTTCCCTGGAGCCGTGGGGATGGCGCTGCATCCCAGCTGCGTGTGGCTGCTGCTGGAGTGAAGCCGTAGCCCCAACTCTGCCCACCTCTGCCGTGCCCACTGACGGAGGGAAGCTCTTGAGGCAGCTGAGACTCAGGCGTAGTCAGAGTTGGGTCAGACTCTGAGTCACGCAGGATGTGCCGATGATGCCTTGGAAGCGGGCACAGGAATTGCCAATGAGGGCAGTATGTCTCCTAAGGCCAAGTGCATGACGATTTCTCTTCCAAAATTACAAGTAATGAGAGACGCAACTGCCCTGCACAAGCGCAGGGTTTAGGGGAAGGGGGAGGCTTTCCAGCCAAGTCACTGCCACTGGTGTTGCGTGGGACCTTCCGTGAGTGACTTCAGTGAGGATGTTAAGTTGGACTTGATCGTAAAAGTCTTTTCCAACCTAAATAATTCTATGATTCTATGATGCTGAAGAGCATCCCAGCTGCGTGTCAAGGCCCCATCTCCAGGAGCGAGTTAGACCCCATTCCCGAGAGGTGCTGGAGCACAGCTGGGTGCGTTACTGCCCTTTGAAGGCATCGCAGACGAGCTCCCTGCAGTTTGGCGATGGCTCCCCCTCGATGGAGGGGTCGAGCTGGGGGGTGCCTCTGGCTGGATGCTTTATTTTTGTGTCTCTTAACTTCATCCTCTTCAGAAGGAGGGACGCCGGTGCCCTGGCGGGAGGTACGGGAGATGGCCCTCTCCTCCCTCCTCTTCTCCTGGGGGTTGTGCCCCATCCCTGTCCAGGGCTGGGAGGTGTTGTTATGCCCTGAGCTTTGGGTGCAGGGCTGCGTTGGGCACCAAGGGCCTGTGCTGTTGCTGCCGGGCCTCGGATTAATGCACAGAAGGGATAATACGGTGTGTGGTGGACCGTGGAGATATCAATGCATAAACATTCAAGTATGTCAAATACAGTGACTTTTTCAAAATACAATTCTATTAGAGCATGCCAATAAATAGTATGCCGATGGTAAATTAAATATCTGTTCTAAAAATAAAACAATTTGGAAAGCTGTTTCCAAATGCATCGGGGAGTTCAAGGCAATATGTTTTTAGGCTGTTAGTTTTGCATTGTAAAAAAATATTGTTACTTCAGTGTCATAGCTTTCCTTGCAAATTTAACTCCATGAAATTCAATAACTATGCTGAAAAAAAATCGCCAAATGTTTCATCTGTTTCATATTTTCTGGGAGTAGAACCATGCAATATGGGGAATATCAGCACACTGATTTCTTTTTTTATACTGGAAAACTAATTTTTGGATTCCCTTAGAACTACAGACTTCTCATTACAAACTTTAATAATGAACTAATTACTGCTTCAGGTGCCTGTCCTCGGTGGATGTAATTTCAAGTAGTCAATCAACAGTCGTTCTTCCTTGGCTAAATACCTTTTTTCCTTTATCAGTGATGGTTCCTGGGGCCCACAGGGGTGCGTTACCAAGCCCCTTCAGGGGACGTTTCAGACACCAGCGTGGGTTGGTAGGAGTACAGTGAGATTGGGGGTGTAAACTGAAATGTCCCGTGTGTCCCCTGGGGGCTTTTGGCTGTGGTTCCTTCTGTGGGCGCCCTCCTACTAAATGAACAGGATGAAAGCTGCAGTCCCGCCTTCTGCTCTGGCCCCAGTGCAGCCAGTAGAAACGTGATTATTTGGAAAGGAATACAGCTTGAAAGTGCAGCCCTCAGCCGGATGCTTCCCTTTTCTTAGAAAAGGGTGTGCGTTTTCCAAGGCTCTCCGGGCGAGGACACCCTCCTTGCCAAAGCGGTGGAAGCCGCCAACAAGCTGTGGCTGGCTGAGCTGCAATGTTCGAGGCGCTGCGACTGCTGTCGATGGAGATGGTGGTTCTGTCTCAGCTGCTGGCTTGAGGGAATTAAATTTGGCTCCCGGCACTCAGAGGTGCCTGTTCCTGCTGGATTTGCAGCATGGTCATGGGGAAGGAGGATGAGGGCTGCATGAGAACCGCTTTACGGAGCCTGCCATCCCATGGTTTCAAGAGATGCTTCTTAAGTGTTTGGTTTTTAACTAATTTTGCGCTGCTCATCTGA